GACCGCCTGGGGCGGGGCCCTGCCCAGGAGAACGGGAGGGTACCGCCCGTGTGTTGTGTTTGCCTGGAACACCTTCTCAAGCCGGTGCCGCCGGGTCAGGACGTGTGTGTGTGTGTATATTTTATTGATGTGTTTATTTATGTATTTTAAAATCAAGCACATACACTGACAGGGATGTTGCAGTATCAGAGAGGGGCTTAACTTAGAAATGCCTGATCAGCTGCCGGGAAGAAGAGTGGAAACTGTGGCGTGCTGTATCAATGGAGACCTGATAGAACAGGAGCTGGTTTGGGGGGGGTTGCTTGGGTTGGGTTTTTTTTTTGTTTTTTGGTTTTTTTAAGCCTATATATGGGCCTCTTCTTAGTGTTAAACTGCTGATTCCAAACTCCTCTTGCCCTCTCTGACGGCAGGGGAAATTGAAGCGCTTGAATCGTATCCGAAACCAGACTTGTGTTCTGGTGCGTGTGGTGGCCGCTTGAGGAGAGCGGATGTGATCTATGCAGTTTTAAAAATTAATTTCGGTGAGGGTTTTTTTTTTTGTGTGTGTGTTTGAGTTATATAACAAGCTTTTCTTATGCAAATTAAAAATAATTTGTCTACTATGGCACATGTTTAAATTTATTCACAACCGAGGCTGTCTCCTCTGTTCTTAACGTCAACAGTCTTTTATCTGAAATAAATATTCCTGGCTACCTCTGAAGTACTTCATAATGCATTTATAAAATGTTTGGGAGTCAGTGAGGTCAGTAACAGATTAACATCTAAACGCGTTGAATACTGTGGAGAGTAACATCTCAAACTGTGTTTATAAGGTTCTCTTCTAAACTTCCCCCTCATACTCACCTAAAATCAGAGTCTTTTTGGCTAATCGCGATGCTTGACTGCAATTACCTTGTCCTGTTCATGATCACCATTGGTTTGCATTCAGTCTTTTATGGCTGAAGAAACAGGTATAATCTTCCTAAATGACAAGTTAATGCGCTCAGGTAATTTATCTGAATTGCAGTTTGGCATGCTGGGTCTCCATTTCCAAGAGCGAACAATGCCAGTACTAATGTCTAAGAAAAATGCTGTCTGTCTTGAAAATTCTGTTGCTTTCAAGGACTGGACAGCAGGCTGACAGCAGAGGAAAATACTTGCTATAGAAGTAGATAAGTTTTCCAGAAGAGTGAATGCTTGTGAGAGGCTTTTGGTCCTTTTCTGGACACAGGAGGAAATGAGTCAGGATGTTTTGCATATATGATGTTGTTGGCAAGGGAGAGGAAGAAGTTTTCAGCAAGTGACTCCATAATTCTGAAGGGACAGAAATTCCACTATGAAATAAATGTCCTGACAGCTTATCTGCAAATTTAAGAGCTTGCCCAAACTTTTCTTTGTGTTCTGCAGAACACGCACAATATTATGAGGAAGGTCTTAAATTCAGTGTAATGTGCAAGTGCCATTCACAGAGGATAAACAACTTTGGAGTCCAGGTTGTCAGTGCAGGCTGATTTGATGCTACTGTATTCGTGCTTGCATGTTTTCCAACTGACGTGGACTTCTTTTCATTTCAGAAATGGAAAATCCTGAAGTGGCTGTGAGCAGCTGCAGTGCTCACGATGATGAAAAGCTTTGCAGCTACAGACGGCACATGTCAGTATCACAGGAGGAACTTTTGGAAGACCAGCTGAGAAGGAAGCTGAAATTCTTCTTCATGAACCCATGTGAGAAATTCTGGGCCCGAGGCAGGAAACCTTGGAAGCTTGGGATTCAGCTACTCAAAATAGCAATGGTTACTATTCAGGTGAGTAACTAGGGAAGCAGGGACTCTTCTTAGCCCATGGGGGTTCAAATAAGGAGCACAGGTGACAAATGCTATTCTTGGCATGGTGCAGAGACAGGGAGAGGATGGACTGCAGAAATATCTTCGTTGCATATATGTAGCTTAGATCTCAGATGGCATAGTTTTCTCCTAAAACTGTTGACTGAAAGATAGCTTTCCTAAGAGCGGAGATGAAAAGAACCATGTGTAAGGGCTCTGCTCTACTTTTTACTTTACTTTTTTTTTTCCTTTCCCCCCCCCAAAGGATGGCATCCTTACACATCTGTTCCCCCCAAAACCTTCACTCTGAGTGTGTTTGTGTTCGAGGGAAGTTTGTGTTTCAGTGTCACAGTGATAAGAACTGAAATTGGTAGCTTTTTTCACTATATTTGCTTATGCCTTGTGTATGGTATACGAAATCTTCCTATTGAAAAAATCAGAAATTTTGCCCCAGTCTTCCTCTCACCCAGCCTTGCACCACAGATTTCATGTAACACATTTATCTGCTGTCTAAAACACAACTCAGAGTCCTGTGGTTAAGGAGGAAGGTCTTTCATAACATCTTTTAACACCTCAGATAATGGTCCTTCGGAGTTGCCCGTGTGTGATTTACATTTAGGGTGGTGTCAGTGCTATGACTATACAAGTATAGAGAAGAATGTTTTCCACGGTTGCATGAATGATGGGACAAACTGCAGGAATAATAATTCTTTTGCTATATGTCTGGCAGTATGTTTGTATCCCTTCCTTACTTACCGCTTTAGTCTGAAATGTATTGTCATCCTCCGATTGTCATGTATCCCATTTTGCAATTAAAAATAAAATTTGATGGTGGAAGAACCTAAATAAGAAAGAAACTAATGCTCATTTAGCCTTTTCAGAGAAAATCTGCCCCGAGGTAATTCAGTCTTAGCACTGTGGATTTGCTCGTGTATTCCTGTGTGCCTAGCATGCTGAGCTTGCCCACAGAGCATTTCTGTATCTCTGTAACTGAGTTATCCTTATCAAAGCCTACATATCCAGTTTGCAACGTGGCAATAAAACTAATCTGTAGACTACTGGTTCAGACTTATCTCTGATGAGTTTCTTCACAATACTGCTGATGCTAGATTTGAAACAATAGTCACTAAAGGGAATTGCAAGCTCCCACAAACTACATGACATTCTTCTAGAAACCTTTTCCAGTCTGGATAGTAGCTAGCAGTGTTTTATGCTAACTTCTCATGAACAATTGCAGTATATTTTTTAACAGCTTCAGAGGTTATCCTGTTACAAGCACGGTTTTGATCAGTTATTCTCAAAGCACCTTTCACCCAAACCTGAGGAAGGGATGTTTGTTTTTCTGAGTTGTCCTCAGTTTGCCTTTTCTGCATAGCAGTAAAGACTTCACAGTGGGGTCTGGTTAAGTCCTGTCCTGCCTTTTTGGCTGAGGTACACTGATATTCCCCAAGGCAAGTCATATCAATGTCAGGCTGAGCTAACAAAGCACATGTAACAGTATATGGGTAGTTTGAATTTGAGATGGTAATGCTTTTCTTTGTAAAAATGCAAGTCCGTGGCCAAGATGCTGGTGAACATGTTAAAAGAACGTTCTTGAAACCCATTGTTCCCTAAAGTCAAACTTTCTTTTGACCAGCAGTGAAATGGAGTATCCTGCATGTAAGTGCTCTGTCTACCAGCTTGATGAAAGAGTGGCCATTTGCAGGACAGGGTTTGCATGTTAATCCTGAAGCCAACTTTGTCTTTGAACAGGAAATATAAATGTCTTTTTCAGCTGGTAGTTTTTGGATTGAGCAATCAAATGGTGGTTGCCTTCAAAGAAGAGAACACTGTTGCATTCAAACATCTCTTCTTGAAAGGATACATGGACAGAACGGATGACACCTATGCTGTATACACACAAACAGATGTCTATGACCAGATATTCTTTGCAATAAACCAGGTAAGGATTGTCGCTGCAATGTATGAAATACATATGCTCTTTACCTGGGTACCTTTTCTTCTTCCACCTTCCCTGACAGTGTCTGAAACTGAACTTCTCTGCCCGTTGCTTCAGGCTAGAATGTTGACTCGTTCAGGTTTTCTGTCATTGCCAGAGCATTGTACTTGTGGCAACATCCTTAAAGCTAATCAATCTACGAATTCTGCACTAGATGCAGGCCTTGGATTTGAGCCAGAGTGCTTTGCAAATAAAAATTAGGCTTTTTAGTAAGGATTGTAGAGAGCAAAATAAATAATAAGCAAAAAAGTATTTAGATCCAAATCCTGCACTTACTGTTTTTGTCAAATACCTTAAAATATTTGAAGACTCCCCTGTAGCATGGTGTAGGTTTCTGAGTTCCTTAGGTGACCTTTCAAACAGAAAAAGATGGGTTATGGCACAGACTCAGACACTTCTGGGTTTACTTTTTTTTCCAAGACTGACAGTTTTGGTGCCATCTAAGTTGGTTTGTTTGTTTGTTCTGAACTTCAGTACTTACAGCTGCCCAACATTTCTGTTGGAAACCATGCTTATGAGAAGAGGGGAGCGGAAGAGACAGCTTTGGCTGTGTGTCAGCAGCTCTACAAGCGAGGAACCATCTGTCCTGGAAATGACACCTTTGATATAGACCCAGAGATTGTGACTGGTAATGAACCTAATCTATTGTATCGGTTCTACATTTATGATGAATTCTTACAACCATCCAGTATTGTACAGTCCTATCAAATGATCTGTATTGAACTTACAACCGGCCAGAAAGCTACTGTGTAACTAACCTCTAGCCCTCACTTCCAAGTTAACAGTCTGTTATGTCTCCTGCCACAAAACAAGTGATGAGCCTTTAGCACTGATGACCATCTAATACAAGTATTTCGGGCTAATTTCAGGAGCCTTCCCTGTGAATTCATGATGAATAGCTTGGCTGGTTCAGGGAAGCCAATATGTTTGTCAGCTAACTTCCCAAATGACTCCTCACTTAAGTGTGCTATCTTGCCTGGTGTAGTCAACGGCTCTTTCCAGCCTCGGGAGTGGGAAAGGCAGATTACAGTTAAAGAGCGTGATAACCCGTGAGATACTGTTGTGAGTACTTATCCATTGCAGACTGCTTGTACATTGAGCCAATGATGCCGTTAGACAACACAACAGTGGGAAAGCACAATTTGAATTTCACTCTGGATTTCCACAGGTGAGGAGGAATCAGCATCTCCTGTATTGGGGTATTCATGCGTTTTCCCTGTGAAAAGCTAATACAAAGCTCTGTTGCAGACTGGTGACAGTGCAGCTCATGTTCAACCTGAAGGCAATCAATCTCCAGACCGTTCGTCACCACGAGCTCCCTGACTGTTATGATTTCACTCTGACGGTACGTGGAAGCCTGCCACTTGTCTTTCTGTTCAAAATGAGAAATCGTTCCTGCTGGTTTATCATGCACAGTCAGTACAATTGTTTTCTGAAACGTTGGGCACCATTGACTGGTCCTCAGTGGCATCTGGATGACTCTGTTATGGCTTAATGTACCCTGTGAATAACCGCCAGTTTTGACTGTGGGAGGTTAAGCTCTGAGTGCTCATGATGGGGTCCTGAAGCACCTGCTTGGCTTACAGTCTTTTGTGCTCTAATCCATCTGAAGTACAATCAAAGCATAAATATCTTCTCTTTAGAGAGGTGCTTCTAGGAAAGGTTGTTTTCAGATCATAGAGGAATGAGGCTGTAGTTGAAAAGAATTTCACCTAGTATCTAGTTGATCAAGCAATTTTTGGCAAATATGTGGTTCACCAGATTTGTCTTTCACTTTGACAGCATTTATTTGAATAAACTGGAATCACCTTAAACTTAAACAAATTTCGTAACGTCTCCCCTAGGAGTATTATTCTGAATCATTATGCAAGCTTAGCAATACAGTGTGCTTATGTATGTAACAGTTTAACTTTAAAAAGACATGCTTTTTTTTGTTTGTTAATACAGATAGTGTTTGATAATAAAGCACATAGTGGAAGAATTAAAATAAGTCTAGACAACGACATAGCGATCAGGGAATGTAAAGACTGGCATGTTTCTGGATCAAGTAAGTTACATAAATGCATTCAAATTTTCATGCTAAATTTTTGCCACACTAGCAAAATGTTTGTTAACCTTTTTCTTTATTAAAAGATGAGGCACTATTGACATACATTCTCTAGTGGGTGTGCTCTAAATACTGATTTTCTGAGGAGTTGTTGTTCTTAAACCTCTGATCTGAAATCCTGGGAACCCAGACACACCATTACTTTCCTTAGCAGTTTTCAAACCTTGCACCATTGATGCTGTCGAACCAACATTTTTCCACACCTCACTGTTCATCCTTCCAGCTTTGGCTACCGAACTTACGCTGCTCATTGCTTTAGGTAGGGCTGTGAACTGTTCTTCTAGCACCAGGAAACAGAAGGATACATGATAGTGGTGGAAAGTTGAAACTGATTCACTTTTATTTCAGGACTTAGCACCAGGAAAGATAAGGAAGCACTGTTGCTAAGGCTTGCTAGAGTGGAATGGCTGGAAACACTCCTGACTGCTGCTTAAATGTTGTTTGGCCTGTATCTGGGTGTAACTGAGATGTACAGTATGGTTAAATAATCTGTCTTAAATAGTTACTCACAAGAGCACTCTTTGTTGGCAGCTATTGGATCTGGTCAAAACATTGTCTGAGATCATTTTGGTTAGAGAAAATAATCTCTTTGAAAGTCAGACCAGGGTTCTGAATTCCACTTATTTTTAAATTTTTTCCTGAAGTAAGTGATAGGATGAATCAGGTCTGGTTTTCTACTTTGCCACTCTCCCCTTTGCTATGCCTACAGTCCGAAATGAAGAGCAGGTAGTGAAAAAAAGAGAAGATTGGGGGTTTTCTTAAATATCCAGATTGAAATTAATTATGGGGAATTTAATGAAATGCATCACAGAGTGCAAAACCACTTATGCAGACACACAGTCCACTAAACACTATCAACTAGCTTTGCTAGCTGCCATGTTATAAATGCACACCAGATGGCATGCTACCCCTAACAGATTGCTAGTGCAGCAGTACAAGAAGGTTCTGTAATAATCCACATTTGATATCTATGCAGATTGCCTCTATAACATTTTTCAAAGTCATCTCCTGGAGTACCCTGTATTATTTTCTGAAAGCCAAGGAAAAAAACAAAGGTAATGATTGCAATTGGACAATAAAAAGTTGTTGTTCTGAACTACACTGCAAAACCAACCTAAATGGCAACAGTACATGTGTTAGTGACTTTGGTATAAGCAAGAAGTAGGTGGGCATCTTCTGAGTGGTGCAGTTTGTGAAGTCAACTAGAACTTCAGTATCCTGTTTTGGAGAATTGCTGCATCTTCTTGTAAATTTAGCATTAAATTGTTCCAATTTTTTAAATTTTAGTAACATAAGAGATGGAGAACTCACGTCTAGCTCAATGTTGGTCTTGGCTAGCTGAGCAGCAGTGCAAATTATCTGCACTGCTCTGGGACAGACAACCTATCTGATAGTCAAATACTGGTCTGGAAGAGAAGATACGTACTGTAAAGTTCCTGGGATTTTTTTTAATTTTTTTTTTTTGGACAAGTTCTGTCATTCTGTCACTCCAAAGGCCATTCCACCGCTTGTAAAATGGACAACTCCTACCTCTAATTCTGCAGGGCTTTAAGAAGCACTCATGCTCTGGTATATTTTTGATGTGGTATCAACCCCTAAATTAACTACAGTGGTATCTGTAGTGCAGATGCACTGGTGTCTCTCATGAAAATATGTCAGATAAACTTTTGTGGGGAAAAGCTAACATTTTTCTTAATTCAGTTATATAAACATAATTGACATCAAAACTCAATTCTTACTCCAGTACTCAAGATGGTCAAGAAGACGGAAATGTATCTGATAATGAACATGTACATTTTTGTTCTTGCAGTACAAAAGAACACTCATTACATGATGATCTTCGACGCTTTTGTTATATTGACTTGTCTGGCCTCATTGATCCTTTGCACACGGTCAGTGGTTAAAGGAATTCGACTCCAAAGGGTGGGTATAACTCTTTCCTTGGAAAGTCTTCATGTCTTGTGCAAATCTGGTTAACTTTCTTCTTTCCTCCTTTCCCCTAGGAATTTGTAAGCTTTTTCCTGTATTATTATAAGAAAGAAGTATCTTTCAGTGATCAAATGGAATTTGTCAACGGATGGTACATCCTGATTATGGTTAGCGATGTCTTAACTATTGTTGGATCAACTCTAAAGATGGAGATACAAGCCAAGGTAAGCTTTTTACGCTGCCGAGTGGAAGCAAAACTGATTGTTTCTGTCCCAGCATTAAATCTCTCTGAGGACTTTAGGCTGGCTATACTTGATTCTGAGTGGCATGCAATTTTAAAACTCTGTCTTATCCTCTGGAATTGTAACTGAGATGTGTTGTTTCCAGTTGCAAGATGTAAAAACTCCAAATATCACTAGATATTATAATTCTAATTATCTTTGCTCATTTGTGACTCCAGGGAATAAAATTTACTTCACCTCTGAAAGCTTAAGACTGTTGACTTCCTTTCCCATTTAGGACCACTTAAATTTGCTTATTTGATGGATTTTTTTTTTTTTCTATTTAGCATTTAACTTTGTTTCCCATTTAACAAGTGTTTAACTAGCAGAGAGACTCTCTCCTTAAACATCACTTTGCTGCTTTCCCAGCTTCTGGTTTCCAGCATGTATATAACAGTCAGCCACAGCCAGGCTCTAGGCTTTCAATTTCTAAAATAAACTTGACATAAACAAATCTTTTTAAAACATATTACATGCAGCCAGAATGAGGGAAGAAAAACTCTTACCATGTGCTATCCTGAAGCACTCTAATATTCAGATAATGTTGTTCTTCAAATCTGTAGCAGACTTTGAAGTGTGACATTGCAACACAACAGACTTTGAACAGTAATGATGAAAGGACATGTCTGAAATCCATCTGGTGACAGCCTGACTGTCATAAATGCCCTGTACAAATTGCCCTATCTTACCTTAGGAACTATAAACTCGGTTCTCAGGAGTAGAAAGAAGCTATGAGGAAGCTGGCTAAGATAAGAGATAACTCCATCCTGCTTTGGGAGAAGCAAAGATGAGAACAAGATTGGAATAAGGTCTTGCATTTGGGATTCCAGTGTCTTTTATATATATAAATACATCTGTTTATATACGTTTCTTTTCTAAGAGAGTATTTTACTAAAACTCTTATCTACATGTACATTTCACTTCATTTTGCAAGCCTTGTGGCCCTCAGTAACAAGATCTTGTTCCATGTTACTGTGTGAAAGTTAATGGCCGAATAACAAGTTCACATTAAAGTAGCCTAAATTTGGTTTTTGTCAAGCTGTAAATGAATTATGCTAAGATAAAAGATTAGCCAACTCTCAGAGGAATAAAACCAGAAAATAGTGAAAACTTCTTATTCAAATAAGTTGTCATGATCCATTTCAGAGTAGAGCTGCGGTTCAGGGAACAGTGTATATGCTACCTTGGATGAAAACAGGCCAGTATGTATAGGTGGAAAAAACAGTGAAGTGCCAATAAAATATAAATGAAGTCCTGGTTAGAATTAATTAGAAGCTAATTAGTCTTCTCCATGATAACTTTCTACACCTCACAGTTCCTGGCTACCTAACAGGATCCTCCTTAGTATTTTATCTGAGCTCTGCTGACAAGCCATGCTATTTTTAAAAACTGATTTGCCTACGTACTGGGAGAACCTTCTCTGCTCTGTGGTTCTAAAGTCACATCTACACTGTCTGTTGGGATGCAGTGGAGAGATTCCTGAGCTGCTCTGGGGAATCTGTCAATGCGGATTCCAGAAGCAGTTGCCACAGGTCTGGAAGGAGCATAAAAATGTTTGCAGTGCCACTCTGCAGGTCCTGCTGAGCCGGGTGGCTCTGCACGGGCAGTGCAGCTGTGCTCTTGGCCTTGCAAATGAAGCTTGTCTTGTCAGACTCTGTTTTCCAAACAGCCATATGTAAACACATGGGAAATGAGTTACCCTTCAGAGCGCCCTTGCTCTTTAGTGGGACTTCTGCTTTCTGATGCATATTGCCCCAAACTAATTTTTAACAGGAGAGATTGCCAAGGAAAACTATGTTTCTTAACAGATCTTTGTAGTAGTGAGATTTGTGATTTAGAGCCTGCCAGTTTTAATCTTGATTATTTTTTTTTCTTTTTTCTTCTTTTTTTTTTTTTTTAGAGTCTGACAAGTTATGATGTCTGTAGCATACTCCTAGGAACATCCACTATGCTTGTGTGGCTTGGAGTCATTCGCTACCTAGGTTTCTTTCAGAAGTATAATGTAAGGATCTCCTGGGATCTTCGTGCTGTTGGTATTTATTCTGTTTGTTGCTATAAGAGGACTGGAAGAAATGCCTGGTTGAATTCTAACTGTTTGCATTGCTTTGTGCAGCTTCTCATCCTAACACTGCGAGCAGCATTACCCAATGTAATGAGGTTCTGCTGTTGTGCTGCTATGATCTACCTGGGCTATTGTTTCTGTGGATGGATTGTACTGGGACCATACCATGTGAAGGTAATATACTTAACATGAAAAAAGACAACTTGAATAACAGAATGGATTCCAAACAAATGAGAGATTACTACTGTTGTCTTCTAAGTTTCCATGTCAAGGCTTCCCTTAATATAAAAATAGTGCATCTTCAACATGATGCTTCTCTGTTTGAGGAGCCTGACTTCCATGACTCAGTCAGACTTTCCTCAAGTTATGAAAGCTGTGAGTCAGGAGTGGAAGCTGCTGTGACTCCCAATCACATGCTGGTATTTTGAGAAATAATTTTCATCTTGCAGAATACCGGTGTCAGACTCAAGCTTTGGAGATTTTATCCTTACTCCTTTTAAAAGTTAAATTGGCGTACCTGCTCCAGCTAGAGTGTACAGGTGAATGAATTGAATGTGTGTGAATACAAGAGGTGGCAAACTTTGCTCATTCCTCAAATGTTTTACGGTTTGCACATTGTCATACCCTGGGCCTACAAACAGATCCGAGGCAGCCAGTCAACAGCTGTGTATCTTCTTCATGTTATGTAAAGTCTTTGCATCCAAATAAAGTGGCGACTGATGTCCTTGTCTACTTCCCTCCTCTCTAGTTTCGCTCTCTGAACATGGTTTCCGAATGTCTTTTTTCACTGATCAATGGAGATGACATGTTTGCCACCTTTGCAAAAATGCAGCAGAAAAGTTACTTGGTCTGGTTATTCAGTAGGATCTACCTCTACTCCTTCATCAGTCTGTTCATCTATATGGTGCTGAGTCTCTTCATTGCACTCATTACAGATACCTATGAAACCGTCAAGGTAAGCATGAACTCTTACTCTTCGTTTGGAATCAAAATGCAAGATTGGTGCTATCGACTCTAATCCCCCTCCATATTTTGACTGCAGCGCATGCCAATTTAAAGAACAAATACAAAGGCTACTTTTGAGGGTGCGGCGTGATGACAAGTCCTTCCCTATTTCAGTTTTCTAACAAGCCTATCTGATTTCCTGCCCCAATGGTAGCTAAATACCTACTAAAAGCAGTAATTTCATACTCAGTTCTGCGTCTTCTAAATTCAGGCTTAAGTAATGGCTGGAAAGCAGTCTGAGGGACATTTGGGGGGTTGTGTGGTTTTTCCCTGCTAAAGGTTTAACTAAATATCATTTTTTAGCACTACCAGCACGATGGTTTTCCGGAGACAGAACTTCAGAGATTTGTATCACAGTGCAAAGACTTACCAAACTCTGGCAGGTACAGGTTAGAGGATGAGAGTTCTGTATCTCTCTTCTGTTGTTGTAACGGTACGTACCTACATTAAAATTATACATTAAGGTATATGCAAATGCAACACACCACAAAATGTCCCTGGTATAATGTTTACGAAGAATAATTAAATTTTGGGGAGTAGAGGGGAAAAAACCCCACAAAAATCCCAAACTATTTCTAATGCTCTCAAATGGAGCACTTCAGTAAAGTGTCTGCAGCCAACAAACTCCTTAGGAGAGGAGAGGGAACTTTTCATTAAGAATTGCTTAACATATGAAAAATAGCACAGAAAGTTAGATAATATATACAGTAACTGAGGGGCCCCGTATGTATAATGCACAAGCATTAACAGTTCCTGTACTTACTGCAATAGTCAGGTCTTTTTAATGATACCTTGTGCAGTAAGGTGTCCTAACTTAAATGGTAGCGGGCCTGAAACTTAGGGAGAAGATCAGCTTGCCAAGGTTGTAAGATAGCATGCAGTTAAGATACTATCACAGCACTTGGAAAAAGATTGCCTAACTTCCACTATGGCGAGCTCACTGCTGCAGTTATTTAAAGTTTTGTTTCTTCAGGAATACTGATTGCAGGTTACATGGTTTATATTTAACCTCTCTGGCAGCAACTCTGAGTCTTGCTTGCTAGTTGGTCCCTTGGTGGGGGAGCCGTAAAATATTTGCAGCTTGATTAGAAAGATCAAAGGCATTTGCAGCTCCTTGGTATTGGGCTTTTCTGGTGTGCTATATTGTTTTATGCCAGGTAGATAGAATGTATTTCTGAGGGGGAGGAGAAGGGGGCATATTTTGGAGCAGGGAGAGAACAGAGCCTGCAGTCAGACAGTCCAGAGCGGCGAGCTGCTGTTCTGACTGAGTGCCTTTCTTGAAATGAAAGCGTGGGATGAAGCAGAGCAGGGCATCTTACTCCTGGGTAAAGGGCACTGAAATGTTAATATTTCCTTTTCTGCACACACCCCTCAGTTCAACCAGGCAAGAAACCCAACACAAGGTGGGACAGGGTGGGGATGACTGGCTTGGAGGCGGGGATCAGGACTCTAGAAGAGCACCGGAGAAGGGAAACTTGGTTACTCTCAAGCAACTTATTCTTCAGGAGCCGTGGGCAGCAGCAGTGCCCTGGACTCAAACAGAGCTGTAGGCATTGAAGTGCCTGATTTCAGAGCCTTGTTTCCTGAACTGATTAACCACTCTTTAATGATTTCATCCTGGTCCAAAATATCTTGATCTACATGCATGCCTCATACTATGCACGTTAGTGTTACAAACTGGAAATAGTCTGTTCCTTTCTCTAGAAGTTAGACCAGGGGCTGACTTTGCAGTTGCCTGCAAATACTCGACGTTGCTCCTTTAGCCCAGTACTGTGGTCTTCTGGTTTTACTTTGAAACAAATGATCTGTGGGAATAAATAAGTATCTCAAGTGGGATGTTGAGTTATCAGTTCTGTGGCTTCTGGTCTTTAAACAGTCACATGGTCCTACAGGGGGCACAAGGCTTCTCTTAATTCTTTAGTATGTTCAAAATGTTCCATGGTGGTTCGTAACGGTTTCTTATCAGAGTGTGTCAAATTAGTAATTATATAGTTCAGATGCATTTTTAAGGGTCCTTGTACCATGAAACTATTATTTTCATGCATGCACCTGACAACTTTTTTCCCCCTCTCCTGTACAGGTCCCAGTGAACATGTTTAATGGGGATTTCTATCATGGAGGCTTTAAAGCAGCACGCATTTCAAGACCTGGATGGTGGAGCTGGTGGAAAATCATATACCTAAAGCCTGAATTTTGCTTTTCTCAAAAAAACAGTGTAAGCCTGTGGCAGAAGCTTGCGATAAACTTACAGTCTTTCTGATTAGGCACTCCCACTGCTAGTTCAGGGGTTTGGGGGGGTTGCGGTTTTGATTAGATTTGTTCTATTTGTTTCCTCAGTTAAATTGTGCTAGAATGCAAAGGGCATTAAAAAGCTGTCTGTGTTCAGAGACTTGGCTAGATTATGTGAGTAGACTAGAAATGCAGTAACTTTCAACTCTCTGTAGAAATAGTGCTGGACAACTGCAACTTTGAACACCAACCTAGCCATTGGTACTCCAGGCATTATCTAGCTACGGCTGACCCTGCACTGAATGAATGAAAGCTCGCTCTAGAGCCCTCAGCATTTTTTATTTATCTACATTCACAGTAAAAAAAAAAGAAAATAAAACTATGACATTTGGTGTAACTTGTTTCTGGAGATGTTACAGGGAATTGATGCACAAGCCATTCAACTATGGCTGAGAGCATAAACCAAATACTTCTATAAACATAAGTACCACTTAGCAGAAGTGGCAGCCTCTTCTCAGAGAGGCCAGGGATACGCCAGGCTGGAACTGAAGTTTGAGGGGTGAGTTGAGTGAGAACTGTAGCTGTTCTCTTATATCCAGTGCTGGGTAGGATCAGTTACAGCCTTCAGCTTCGCAGTGTGCTGACTTTATGTTTTTAAAGAAAAAGTCAGACAAAAGCACTTTCAAAAAAATCTAATTTTTTTATTTGAAATCTTCCTCTGGTACACAAGTCTGTAAACCTGAAGTCTAAGTTAAATACATATGTATTTAATAGATAATGTCTCTGAGAGTCATCTCTCTCCACGCTTTAGAAACTGGAAGCCGACCCAATAACATGGTACTGTCAGCGGCTGTCTGAAACATTCGATCTCGTCAGTTTTGACAACTTAGTTTATATACTTTGTTGCTTGTGACACCATTTAAGGGATGCCTTATTTTCTATAGTCTGTTCAGTCTGGGAGCAGAATAGAAAACCCAAGGGATGCATATTTTAGATAATTCGCATTTGTGAGCCACAATCCCGTAGGTATGTGTTGACAACGTATAATGCTGTGCACAAAGGTGGCGGACACTAAACACGTTCTGTCTGAATGTTTACACATTGTAAATGTGCTACAATAAACACTTCCAGCTGCAGTAAGTATTGCGTGTGTCAGTATTCATCTTAAGAGTCAGTATGTTCCCAGGTTAATATAGGAGCTTTTTATATATATATATATATATAAAATATATATAAAAATATGCAATTTCTGGCATGAACCAGTGTGTGGAGTGTGTGAACTTGCATTTCCTGCAGTCAGGATAGTTCCCGTGGACTCTGGTGAGGACCTGTTCCCAGTTTGATCCTGTTCAACAGCTTTTCAGAATTTGCCATAGAAACAAATAAGCAAGTATTAAACCTTACACTAAAAATGCTCTTGTATGTTACATGAGGTTCAAACTCAGCAAAGGCAAACCAAATGCAAGGTGCAGGCAGCACAGATTCTTCACAGTATCTGGAAGTTTCCTGTACTGAGGTCCTTGTCTTCCAACAGTCACCTAGGATTGAAGACTTTTGAAGCTTTTTGAGAAGATTCAAGGCAATCTTGCCTCAACAAGCAAGTACTAAGCGACCATGTTTTCTGTGGACACATTAAACTCCTTCTGGATCGTCGACAACACACAATATCTAATGTGCACATCACTAGTGTATAACACCGTGCAAGGGATTCTGACAAGGATGGCAAGCGCTTTAAGATCACTGAAATGTAGAGGGATGACTTCTTAGCAAGGCTTTTTCAAACAGAGTTAAGAGAAAGCTGAGATTAAGGACTTGCTCAAAATGCAGGTGGATTTTGTAAACAGCTATGGAATACGTTGTTTGCCAAGTGCAGTTACAAGGCAAGTAGTAGTCTGATTTCACTTAGAAGCAGGGCAGAGCATACGCTTCAGCGCTGTTAACATGAAACTGGCAACAAATTTCAACAAAATTTGACAGAGCTCTAAAATACCAAATTCTTACAAAGTTTTATAGAAGCAGGGAGAAATCATGTTAGCAGGATCCTGCAGTATGAGCGTAAGGCATGGAGAGCTACAACGGGTGACCCCAGAGCAGGAACAGAGACCATATATAGATCCTTTCAGTTCCTAATAGGAGAAATCTTCCACTGAAGGCTGGATTTTGTTGCCTGAAGAGCAAACTGCATTGCTGAAGCTTGTTTCACAGTGAAACTCTTTAAGAGTCTTTTAAGTACTGAACTGTGCTTGTGCTACAGCTAAAAAGTCAATCAACCGAGACATAGAATTTCCCTGGAAACGCACCCTCTGTTACTTCTGCTGAACTACACGGCTTTTCATTCAGCATTGCTGGCAGTTGGAGGGGCTTGGGGAGGAAAGCGTTGGTGAAAGGCAACTTGCCTTCAGGGCAGGGTCCCAGTGCCAAGCCAGAAGGGAAGGGCTACCTTAAATTAGGAGGAGGACAGGTAAAGCAAAGGGTAGGATGGGGCGGCAGGAAAAGAAGGGACAACTGCTTATAAAGTTAGCAGAGCAGCAACTGCCTATTTCTGGCCACGGGTGCAGGCTGCTACATGGGGGAAAGAAAAACAGTACCCTGCCAAGTTACACCCGCTCAAAATGTCCGCTTCTGACTGGAAAAATAAATGCTGCTTGTACCTACCTGCTATCTATCTGTATTTTGTTTTTTAAGAAAACCACGTACTGTTTGCCTTTGTGGTGCTGCTGGCCATCTAAGTGCTGGCTGTCCCCATTTCTGACCTGCTTGATCCTTGGTGTCCAGGATCTTCATCTGCCCCAGTATTTGGCTCCCCTGAGAAGCAGCCAGCCAGTGCTGTGTTTTTTGGCCCACTGGCTGCATCTGAGATGAAATGCAGCTCTGGCGGGGGGGCTCTGTGGCTGCTGTGTGTGTGTGGCAGGGCTTTTAAATCTTGTTTCGTGGCAGTTTATGGTGTGCTGGTTATGGCCTTGCAAGAGCCAAGAAGCGTGACGGTGACCTTACTCTAAAAAAAGCCCTCAGTATCAGTCACCTCAAGATTAGCAACGCTCGTAGCAGATGTAAAGCTGCATCCTGGAGACATCGCTGTCTTTATGGTGATACAATCAAGCAGGCAGAGATAGAACTGTAAAATGCAGGTGGGGAGAGCAAAGCAGCAGATAAAGGATCAGATAAACTCATTATGCTTAAAAATGCCATCCTAAGGCTTTCGGTGCCGTCCGAGAAGGTGCGGAGGGGTAAGAGAGTTCCTTTGTTCTGATTCTCGGTGGGCTCTAGAGTTGCCCCAGAAATTCTGATAGTATTTCCTCACGGAAGTAAGTTGCAGGGTGCTAAACAGCTGTTTCCGTACCAAGGCTCATTTCCATGCCAATGTTTTGCATATGCCCTGGTAGTGAGAACGTGTGTTCAGCAGAGCTCAGGTCTCTTAACAGAATGAAGTTACGCTGAGGGGAAGAGAGAGGTGGGGGCCATATTTGTTTGTGAGTACCAGTTTCCATGTTGGGTAGAAGCATATTCTCAAGTGAACAGTGTGCACGCAAAAGAGGAAGAAATAAAGTCCAGATACGCTCGTACCTTTCCAATAATAAAACCAAAAATGTGTAAAGGCATAATTTCTCTCTGGCAGATGGGGGGAAATACGTGTGCTGCTGTAAAAGCCCAAACCTGTGACCGCATCGGTCGGGGGCATCTTCCTGCCTGAGGCAGCAGCTCATACCAGATGCTTCCGAGGACACCTTAAGAAAACTTTCCACGCAAGAGTTGACCTAATGCTCTTGCAGCTCATTTTGAGCAACTGCACACAGATGTTCGTCCGGGCTTTCGTTCCTTCTTCTCCCTTCAGCAGCGTGACCGTAGGCAGACACAGCATCAGCTGAGAGCCCCAGCCTG